CCTTACCGATCACTGCAGCTGTACACAGCCCATCTGAAATTAGCCCACCCAACTACCTCATCCCCATATTGTCATTTATTTTGCTCATTTGCACCCCAGTATCTCTATTTGCACATCATCTCTTGCACATCTATCATTCCAGTGTTAATACTAAATTGTAATTATTTTGCACTATGGCCTATTTATTGCCTTACCTCCATAACTTGCTACATTTGCACACACTGTATATATATTTTCTGTTGTATTTTTGACTTTATGATTTGTTTTACCCCATATGTAACTCTGTGTTGTTGTTTTTATCGGACTGCTTTGCTTTATCTTGGCCAGGTCGCAGTTGTAAATGAGAACTTGTTCTCAACTGGCTTACCTGGTTAAATAAAGGTGAAATAAAAAAACTCACACTGGACCTACAGAAGTACAGTTACTGTACTGCTGATACAATACTACAGCCCACACACTGGACCTAAAGTACAGCGCCCGGTTTCCCGATAGCGATGGATCTTAGGCTTACCAGTGTTTCAACAATGCATCTTTCCTACAACGGCCGAAGATGTAACATATATACTTGTTCTCAACTGGCTTACCTGGTTAAATAAAGGTGAAAAAAAACAAAAAGTCAAACTAGCTTAACTAACTCACTACTAAGGACGGTTAGATCTATTGTTACTACAGTGAAAGTCTGACCCCTTTCTTCATACAGTTGAAGTAGGAAGTTAACATACACTTAGGCTGGAGTCATTAAAATTCGTTTTTCAACCACTCCACAAATTTCTTGTTAACAAACTATGGTTTTGGCAAGTCGGTTAGGACATCTACTTTGTGCATGACACAAGTAATTTTTCCAACAATTGTTTACAGACAGATTACTTCAGTTATAATTCACTGTATCACAATTCCAGTGGGTCAGAAGTTTACATACACTAAATTGACTGTGCCTTTAAACAGCTTGGAAAATTCCAGAAAATGATGTCATGGCTTTAGAAGCTTCTGATAGGCTAATTGACATCATTTGAGTCAATTGGAGGTGTACCTGTGGATGTATTTGAAAGCCTACCTTCAAACTCAGTGCCTCTTTGCTTGACATCATGGGAAAATCAAAAGAAATCAGACAAAATTGTAGACCTCCACAAGTCTGGTTCATCCTTGGGAGCAATTTCCAAACGCCTGAAGGTACCACGTTCATCTGTACAAACAATAGTACGCAAGTATAAACACCATGGGACCACGTAGCCGTCGTACCACTCAGGAAGGAGACGCGTTCTGTCTCCTAGAGATGAACGTACTTTGGTGTGAAAAGTGCAAATCAATCCCAGAACAACAGCAAAGGACCTCGTGAAGATGCTGGAGGAAAAAGGTACAAAAGTATCTATATCCACAGTAAAACGAGTCCTATATCGACATAACCTGAAAGGCCGCTCAGCAAGGAAGAAACCACTGCTCCAAAACCGCCATAAAAAAGCCAGACTACGGTTTGCAACTGCACATGGGGACAAATATCATACTTTTTGGAGAAATGTCCTCTGGTCTGATGAAACAAAAATAGAACTGTTTGGCCATAATGACCATAGTTATGTTTGGAGGAAAAAGGTGGTTGCTTGCAAGCCGAAGAACACCATCCCAACCGTGAAGCGCGGGGTGTGGCAGCATCATGCTGTGGGGGTGCTTTGCTGCAGGAGGGACTGGTGCACTTCACAAAATAGATGGCATCATGAGGAAGGAAAATTATGTGGATATATTGAAGCAACATCTCAAGACATCAGTCAGGAAGTTAAAGCTTGGTCGCAAATGGGTCTTCCAAATGGACAATGACCCCAAGCATACTTCCAAAGTTGTGGCAAAATGGCTTAAGGACAACAAAGTCAAGGTATTGGAGTGGCCATCACAAAGCCCTGACCTCAATCCTATAGAAAATGTGTGGGCAGAACTGAAAAAGCATGCGAGCAAGGAGGCCTACAAACCTGACTCAGTTACAACAGCTCTGTCAGGAGGAATGGGCCAAAATCACCCAACTTATTGTGGGAAGCTTTGGAAGGCTACCTGAAACGTTTGACCCAAGTTAAACAATATAAAGGCAATGCTACCAAATACTAATTGAGTGTATGTAAACTTCTGACCCACTGGGAATGTGATGAAAGAAATAAAAGCTTAAATAAATCATTCTCTCTACTATTATTCTGACATTTGACATTCTTAAAATAAAGTGGTGATCCTAACTGACCTAAAACAGGGAATTTTTACTAGGATTAAATGTCAGGAATTGTGAAAAACTGAGTTTAAATGTATTTGGCTAAGGTGTATGTAAACTTCCGACTTCAACTGTATATCCTTCAATTCTTATCTCAGTTTCCAGAATCAATGTTATAAATAAGCAACATTTATAAAATGCCCTTTCCGTTTGATGACGCATATATAGTAGCAATTCAGGGTGAGCAACATTGCTATTCATCTGACTAATTAGATCATAAAATCAGTCAGACGGATTACATTTTGCAATGTTCAAAATGAAGTCAAACAACAAAAAATGAGATCAAACTGGAATGGAATCTGAGGGTATCTATTAGTGCTGATCCCAGACCAGTGTAGAGAGAGGAAGATCAGTGGGCGAGGTGAGTTCAGATTGCACACATCTTCCATTCCCAATCATATTTGCCATAATGTGAGCTTTTAGATAATGGGCCGCTCTCCTAAATGCGGGTGGAGATTGTTATTAGCATTGACATAAGTGGCTTCACCCTCTTAGCTTTCCTAAAATCAATCCAGGGAATGATCCTAAATCTATATGGATATGGCTTTATATTCTCTGCAAACTGGCCATTAATCTAACTGAGAACTAATGCTTCTGCAATGGGCTTAGTCTGGGAGGAGAGAGAGAGGGGGGTGGAATAGAGAAGAGAGGAGAGGGGAGAGGGGGGTGGAATAGAGAGAGAGTAGAGGGAGAGGGGGGTGGAATAGAGAGAGAGAGATGAGAGGAGAGGGGGTGAATAGCGAGAGAGAGAGAGGGAGAGGGTGGTGGAATAGAGGAATAGATGAGAGGAGAGAGGAAGGAGGAGAAGAGAGGAGGGAGAGAGAGAGAGGAGGGGAGAGGGGGGTGGAATAGAGAGAGAGAGAGGGAGCTTCACGAGGGCTTCACAGCACGCTGAGATAAAAAAGGCTGAAGAAAGTTTAGCTCCATTTCAAAGCTGCTATTTGAATTATTTCGGCTGCATTAAAAACAACAGATCAACCACAATTTCAGTGCGACAAAGTTGTATATATACAGCTCATCCATCTTGTTAAATATGCACTAGTAATCAGTACATGTACCGTTGTTTATCTGCATTATATTAGTGGCGTTCACATAATCATACCAGTCAGACATTAGGTACAATCTACATATTATGATGAAGTGTGGTGATTATATAGGTCATATTCATGGTATGGAGAAGCTATATCTGCATTATTTACAGGTCTATTGGCTACTCTACAACATATCATATTAGTGGAATACATGTGACCATCTGCATCCTATACGGTACATGACATGTAAAGACTGTCTGTGTTATATCAGTGTCATAGAGAACATCTGGAATGTCTGCAGGATGTTATTAGAGTATGGTGACTGTCTGGGTTCTATTAGTGTCACACTGGAACCGTGGAGGAACCAGAGGCAGTGTGTGGGCTTCTCATCTTAAAGACTTTATTAGGAAGGGAGTGATTTAAAAAATACTCGCCCCTTACTTTTAATTTGACAAGAACACTCTTGCTCCTGCCTACAGCGCTCTCCCCCTTTCTCTCACTCTTTCTCTCCCTCCCTCTCCATCTCTCCCATGTTTCCTGCCAGGGAGGAGGGAGGGCAGACCCAGAATTAGCAGATAAGCACGGCTTCAAAGCAGAAAAGGTTTTACCCTGCGAGTCTGCAGCACACAGAACAAAGCAGCTAAAAGCTACAGTATGTTTCCAATCTCTGTAGCTCTCTGAATGTATAATAAGGGAAAAGCAGGCAGGATTGTTGGCTCAACTTAACTGTGTGTTTCTCGCTCTAAAAAAAAAAAAACATCTCAAAGAGCATTTCTCCGCCTACGGAAAATCTCCAGCAGTCTGACCACAAACTGGGTTTAGGCTGTGTTTTCTCCAGGAGTTAAGAGCAAAACAATAACATTTATAGAATGATTGCGGAGCACTACCAGGAAACGGCAGGACATTCTAGTGCCTTTCCCCCCACTTTTAATACTTTTAAAATGTTGCGAGAGAGCTACAGGGAAACATAAAATACTGGCCTGCTTGTCAGCACATATAATTGGGCGCTCAGGAAAAGCAGCATGTCTGTGCTTGTGTGACATTGTGGCTCCCAAATTTCCTCCCATTGGACCGATGGAATCCCGTGCTTTTTAAATTAAAGTAGCAATCACAGTAGCTCAGAAATTATGAGCTTCCCTGTAAGTACATTATAATCACTTATCATTATTTTAAATATAGCTCCTGAATGCCTACTCTGTGACAAGGGTAATTGCTTACAGTAATGCTGCCTGGTGGTGTGGTGGCGAGGCTGTTGTTTAACACACACCCACTATTCTAGATGTTTCTAGGGCTCAGGGCTGGCACGTGGATGGAACAAAGATACACATTGTCTCCTGTCTTTGTGTAATTGTACTCCAAAAAGCTGAAATCCTATAGCCCAGTGGAGTGTGTATGACGGAAAGAGAAAAGGTGTGTGTGTGTGTGGTAAGTGTATGTTTGTGCAAAGATGTGAATGTAAGTGTGAAACAAAGGTGAGAAAGTGAGACAGGGGAATTGGGTGGAGGTGACTTATGGGACTGCAGTGAGAAACAGGATGGCTCCTAACCACACAGACAGACAGACAGACAGACAGACAGACAGACAGACAGACAGACAGACAGACAGACAGACAGACAGACAGACAGACAGACAGACAGACAGACAGACAGACAGGGATCAGGTAATAATATATTGGGTTCCTACAGAGGCAGACAGAGGAGGATAGGATAGAGTAGGGATGGTAATCATGTTCTGTACTCACTCTGCATACACAGGCCATCGGTGCAGTTCTGGGACTGAAGCACCATGCCCTCACAGTCCTTCCCCCTGTTTTTGGGTGCCGGGGCGCTGCACTCCCTCCTCCTCCAGTGGGTACACTCTGTCCCACAAGTGGACCATTTACTCCACTCTGTCCACAGGCCATCCACTAACACACAGAGGCGAGGTAGGGAGGGAGTGGGGGGCAGGGGGCATGGTGGAGGGGAGGGAGGGAGGGAGGAGAGGGTGAGAAGGCATGGAGGTTGGGAGAGTGTGCGAGATTGGGTGAATGAATGTGTGACAATTCGTGGGAAAGAAACGGGGTGGGGTGGGAAGAATGAGAGTGAGAATGATTGATACACATATCTGTATTTATGAAAATATAGCAATCTGTTTGTGATGTCCAGTAAATTGCACTCCCCTGCTCCATAAGCGTTGGTGACAAGTGGCGCTGTAACTACCTGGGCACAGTGGGTTGCATGCCAGCTTCTGAATGCCTTGCCCGTCACAGATGGCACCCCCGTTGAGAGGTGCTGGGTTAGTGCAGCTCCGCGTACGCTTCTGGTAACCACGGCCACAGCGACTGTTACACACCGTCCACTCCGTCCATGTTGACCAGCCGCCATTCACTGTAGAAAAACCCCAAAAAACAAAATATTTAACACTTTAGCAAATACAATTGTTGTCCTTTTAATAGTGGCATTGAGTGAATCTTGAAGAATGTGAGTGTTTTCCACCCGCCCTTTTTTGTTTGAATTTACATGGCATTGAAGAATCTGTAGTACACTTGAGCGTTTTCATGTGGTGTTCTTCTCCCCTGTAAGCACTATTTGGTATGTGGACAGGCTATTCTGGCTGCTCTATTTTCCATCTTCTGAATCCCTCAAATCCCTTCTTCCTTTCCTCCAATTCCATCTGCGTCTCAGTCAAAATCAAGAGCAGAATGACAGTGGGGTGTGTGGCTGAGAACACGACTGTGGCATTTCAGATGTGAGGAGCTAGAGGCCCCTCAGAGCTTATGATGAGTGAAGCCCCAAGCACCAGACTCCAGGGGACCAGAGCCAAACCCTGCCTTTCTTCACTGTCTCTTTCTTTCCTTCTGGGGTTTATTACTCTTCCTCCTTCTCTGTATCCCTCTTTCCATCCATCCCTCTCTCTGCGTGTCCTCCCCAGCCCCTACCCAGATTCCTTGTTGTGGTGCAGGCTGGAAAACCACTGGGCTGCTCTGTCTCCTCTGGTAATGAGGGAACCAATCTCAAAACTCTCTCTCTCTTTCCCTCGCTCCCTCTCTCTCTCCCTCTCTCCCTCTCTCTCTCTCCCGCCCTGCCTGCCTGCCTGTATACAGGGGAAGGGGGACTGACGCAACCCAGGCAGAGAAAGTGGCTTCTGGTGTATTCTTTTAAGGCTGAGCCAACATCAAAGCCTTTTTCCGGCGCACTCACTCAGTCCTCCCAGACTGCATTAGTGAAGGGAAAAGCCTAGCAGGGACAACGACCCCAGTCCCTGAAGACCCCAAAGTCTGCTGACACACACACACACACACACACACACACACTGTTGCTCTACTTCACCCTCATACTGGACTCATCTAAGCCACACATGCTGCTCTCCCCTGTCAGAATGGACAACTAAAATAGATAAATAAACAAATAGGACACCAACAATAACTTAGGCCCCCTAATCCCCCATAATCCTCCATGGCAGAGCCAGCGTGTGTGATTTATGGATGATGTGCTGTACTGGGAGACACTGGAGGGATGGAGGGAGAGATGGATTTGAAACCTGACCCTGATGGCATCATCAATTCCTGCAAACCTCCACCCATTCTGGTCTGGTTTTCTGCGTGTGTGTGGTGGTGTGTGTGTGTGTGTGTGGTTGCATGTGTTGTGTGTGTCCACTCACTCACACGTGTGTGTTTATGTGTAGGGGGTTAAGGCTATAAACAGCCTCGTGTCTGTTAGCTGATGATTAGCTAGACTGACAGACTGACAGACCGACTTAATAACTTGAGGTTTAGCCACTTCACATGCTGGGTGGGTAGCTGCATTCCTCCTAGGGTGGAAGAAGTCCTGAGGCCTGAATGTCTGTGCTGTCATGCGTGTTTAATCCCCTAAAGGGAGACTGGGGAGCAGAGAGGTACAGTAGTTATCAGGACTCAGGCGACGGTGAGGATAAGGAGGGGTGAGGACTCGTGGACTAGCCTCTCCATTCAAAGACCTAACAGTCTGACAGGTACCAGCTATGCTGAACAAAAATATAAACGCAACATTCAACAATTTCAAAGATTTTACTATGTTACAGTTCATATAAGGAAATCAATCAATTGAAGTAAACTAATTTGGCACTAATCTATGGATTTCACATGACTGGGAATACAGATATGCATCTGTTGCTCACAGATACCTTTAAAAAAAAATCACCACCCTTTGCCTCATGCAGCGAGACACATCTCCTTCGCATAGAGTTGATCAGGCTGTTGACTATGGTCTGTGGAATGTTGTCTCACTCCTGTTCAATGGCAGTGAGAAGTTCCTGGATATTGGCGGGAACTGGAACACGCTGTCGTACACATCGATCCAGAGCATCCCAAACATGGAAGAACTGGGATATTTTCAGCTTTCAGGAATTGTGTACAGATCCTTGCGACATGGGGCCGTGCATTATCATGTTGAAACATGAAGTGATGGCACGACAATGGGCCTCAGGTATCTCTGTGCATTCAAATTGCCATCAATAAAATGCAATTGTGTTCGTTGTCCGTAGCTTATGCCAACCCATACCATAACCCCAACGCCACCATTGGGTTCACAACGTTGACATCAGCAAACCGCTCGCCCACACAACGCCATACACGTGGCCAGCTGGTTGTGAGGCCGGTTGGACGTACTGCCAAATTCACTAAAATGACGTTGGCTTATGCTAGAGAAATTAACATTCAAATCTCTGGCAACAGCTCTGGTGTACATTCCTGCAGTCAGCATGCCAATGACATGCTCCCTCAAAACTTGAGACATCGGTGGCATTGTGTTGTGTGGCAAAACTGCACATTTTAGAGTGGCCTTTTATTGTCCCCAGCACAAGGTGCACCTGTGTAATGATCATGCTGTTTAATCAGCTTCTTGATATGCCACACCTGTCAGGTGGATGGATTATCTTGGCAAAGGAGAAATGCTCACTAACAGTGATGTAAACAAATCTGTGCACAAAATTTGAGAGAAATAACATTTTTGTGCGTATGGAACATTTCTGGGGTCTTTTATTTCAGCTCATGAAACATGGGACCAATACTTTACATGTTGCATTTATATACTTGTTCACTATAATTCATACACGCATAGTATGACTGTGGCAGATGGGATGCCTTAGTCACTTGTTGAGAATCTGTTTCTGTTTTGACTTTTCCCACTCTATCAGGTTTTGAAGTTTAACTTCTGTGTGACAGTGTTGAGGTTGTGTGTTCATGGAAGTGTCTGATGTTTCAGGGAAATGTGTGTAAAAGCACAGCAGGGGTCCTCCTTAAATACAGCTCTGACTCAGAGAGGAAAAGCTCCAAACTCCCTGATATACCTTCAGGCTGGATCAAGGTAGGGGAAGAAGTAGAAACAGGTATTTTTTATAGATCTTTATCATGTAAATCTATACTAGAATTGACACATTCTACTTTTTCTAGTAGGCCTACATGATTTAAATATTTCATTATCGCTTTCATTATCGCATCATTAACAGATCCAGGTGTAAAATAATGCAGATTATATTGTTCATATTAGGTTGAGAAATGCCCCGTGACAGGGTACTTGGTTTATAATGCTGTTACAGTTAGCATGTTGGGGTGAGAGTTGATTGTTACCGTAGACGATGACTGTTGCCGTGGTGCTCCGTCTCTTAGCGACGATGTTCTTGGCGACACAGGTGTAGTTAGCGGTGTCAGACAATCTGGCCTGTTTTATGATCAGGTTATGGTCAATGGTGATGTAGAAGTTACGGTCATCAGCAGGGTCTATGATCTCCTCATTCTTCAGCCACTCCACCTGGGAGGGAGGGAGAGGGAGAGGGAGAGAGAGAGAGAGGGGAGGAAGGAAGAGAGAATTAAAAAGACAGAAAGAGAGAGCAAGAAAGAGAGAAAGAATGAGAAAGGACGAAAGAAAAATAAAGAGAGAGAGACCATGAATAATGTTCCTCAGTGTGGAACAGTAGACATCAAAACTAGTCGGTAAGAGCAGACATGAAACTGGGACGGCACAGCAGTCAGACACGTTAACCCGATTTCCTCTGGAATAAATCACAAGGAAGTGTTTAAAGGGTTTAAAGACACTTTTCTTCTCTTTGTCTTCCATTCACCTCTCCAATAAAGCTCAACTTCAGGATTACAGCAACACTGTTTACGTCTCTGAGGCCTGAGTCTTTCTATAAAAAGCTATCATGTTCTCTTTTCATTTCCCCAGAACAGAACAAAGTAATACTGTATTGTCAGACAGCGAGAGGAAAGGAAATGCGTTGTTATTCGTGGAACTGCAAAGCTCCTTGACATTTCCTGATGAGTTTCAGTTTTTTCCAAATGATCCAGATATTGAACTCCTGATAATATCAGAAAACAGGGAACCGTATGGGGCTTTTATTAGACCGTCAATCACAGAAACACTTTTCTTCACCTCGTCCTCCTTGGGTGTGAAGGCTGGGCCTCAGGCAGAGAGACCGGTCCACTTTACACAGACAGACAGACTCACAAGTTTCAAAGACTTCTTCACACTTTTCCTCTGAATCCTCTAACTGTGTAGTCAGAGTCAGGGAATGCATTGAGTGCAGAGAGAGAGGAGACATCCTGTGCATTGTGCTTCCTCCTGAGAAGCAGACGATGCCAAATAAGGTCAGAGCAGGTCTGAGAGAGATAAGAAGTCTGTTTGGCTGGCCATTGTCAAAGAACTATTGGAAGACACTTGATCTACACCTCAAATAACTGAAGAAACTCTCCCATATGAACCCTGCCAAGCCTAAAGAATCTGGGGCTGCTAGTCTAAGTGACTGCAGTGAAATGACTGGAGAGCCAAGTAGCTGGTGTTAGAATAGGTGGGTGTACTGTAGTCTTCAAGTGATAAGACCTGTGTTTTTCTTCCTATTGTTATAAAACTAGCATCACGATGACTGTCTCACAAAACAAGATGGACAGATTGTGATACGTGTGAGCCTCGCAACCATCACTAGCATCTGCAGTGTCTGAAGATGACAGATATCACGACTACACCATCAAAGAGGGTCCTGCTTGTATAGAGCCACCTGCTTACCTGCCTTCCTGCACCCCTATCCTGCAACAACAATACAGAGAGACATAAGGCAGAGCTACTTTCAACACTCTAGGTAGCAGCAATTAACGCCAGCTTAAAACTCCCACTCAAACTGAATGCATCCGTCATAAACATAATACTACTCCAGAACAGACGCAGACTCGTGGTAACAGATTCACATCAAAAGAGAACGGAAAAACAATTAGCAGCAGAGCTTGGTGGTAAACCTCTGTATGCTCAATGTTGTATATCTCTGCTGATATGTTGCTTATGAGTGTTCTCCTCCATAAACATTTATCAGGCAAATCAATCGCATGGAGCACAGTGGTTAGTGTTCTCTCCTCTGCTGTCTGGCTAGTCAGTGAAATTAAGCCCAGGCTCTTGTCCTCCACAACACAACAATGCAATAAACCCCCTCTCATCCCATCTCATATCCAGTCCTAATGCAGCAGAAGACATGAAGACCTCCAGTGCCTTGTCTATCCGTTAGGATAGCATCTCATATCATTTATCACGGTGATACCAGGGCCAAACAAACAGCAAACAGAGACAACACAAATCTCCTCTCAACTCCTACAGAAGAAAAAGCTGTGTTTTTAACCCTGAGATAATGAGATTTCACTGATTACATATAGCTGAAGAGTCACTTCACTAGATGAGGGAGGATCTAAGCGACAGGGAACAGGAGATCTCAATATGTCTGATGAATGATATCTGAGAAATAACACTGTTGTCTGATGTCATAAACCAGCGTTTCCAAAACTCGGCCCTGGAGACCCCAAGGGGTGCATGTTTTGGTTTTTGCCCTAACACTACACAGCTGATTCAAATGATCAAAGCTTGATGATTAGTTGATTATTTGAATCAGCTGTGTAGTGTTAGGGCAAAAACCAAAACATGCACCCCTTGGGGTCTCCAGGACCCTGATAAACAGTCATAAGCATGTCAAGTGAATGATGATTGATTTGATAAGGATGACAGTCTGTGTAACAACTATTGGTTTCATTACATCTCATCTGTCTTAGTATCTTTGTCAGTGTCTGTTTGACACCTGTTGTGGCTTCATCAGTTAGTTGGTATAAGGATATGACCTGGTAGAGAGTGTAACACCCAACTATAACACCCAAAATAGTTTTACAACACATTCTGTAGAAATGCCATTAATCTAGTACGCATACCAATCGAGGTAAAGGTCTTGCGAGTATCAACGTGATGTGCATTAAATCCATCGCAAAATTTTTTTGCAACATAATGTTAGCAAATAGCGATGATGCCCGTGGTAATCATAAAACTCCACCAACGTAAATCAATAAGGATTACATATAAACCCAGGGTACGGGTGGCGAGCACAAGTGATTATACGCATCACTACATTTACTGAGGCAAACAAGCAAACAACACACACAAACAGAAATCTGTGGAAGCAGTGTATGTGTGTGTTTGTGTATGTGTGTGTTTGTGTGTGTTTAGCACAGCTGAGTGGTACACTGATTGGCCTGGGCCTAGGCTTGCTGAGACAGTGGTTATGTTATTTTGACCCTTGTTCTGATGGAGCTGTGTGTGTTCCCGTAGTGTAGTGAGTATGTGTGGGCCTCTGTGTACCAATAGAATATACACCCACCTTGCCTCACAATAAAGGGAACATAACCATTCAGAATATCTGTCTTAAATAGTGAACGAGACTGACAAATATGACAAGCCAGGCCAATCACATCACATGTGAAGATTCCCTATGAATATATCCTCTGTGTTTAAAAAAAGAAACGAAAGCCTGACAGTTCTAGTATTGACTGATCACCATTTTGGGCCTGTTCTCTCTTTGTACTGATGGATTGACAAAAGAGTTGGAACAAAGCTTCCAATAAAACAAACGAAGGAGATCAAAATAAGAAGAAAGAGAATCAAAGACATGATGGAGTTGATTGACATGATGAACATTTCCGCTGGAAACCATGACACATTGTTCTGTTAACCACAGCCTTTGGTATGTGAAAAGCCTGTTCTTGTAATGGGGATTGACAGTCGGCACAGAGAGGTGGTTATCTAATTTTGCACCAATCAGAGAGGCAGCCTCTCCAAACAGGCTGCGTTCAGAAGTCAAGAGCTGTTTTATGTGAGAGGGTAATTAAAAATTGAACAAAATAGTTTTTTAGCGCTGACAGAAAGAGGGAGGGAGAGGAGAGGAGGAGAGACGAGGAGGTGGAAACTCTTGTCAAAAAAGAAAGGCAAGTGTGTGTGTGTGTGTGTAAAGACTGCCACGGCTCATATTTGTTACTCAAAGTCAATGCACTGTTCACTCAATATGAGTCATTTGTACACTTTTACTAATATAATTATAACTAGTAAAAGTGACCATGGATGCCTATAAGAGACAATAACACATTTTAGAACCATAATGTGAGTGATCAAAATAACTCAAAAAACATTCAGACCCACTGTCTCACACACTCACACACACACAAACACAGAGACGCTGGCACAGACCTTGTTACCGGCTGATTGGCACCGGCACATTCCGGGAGGTAATTGGCACAATTCTAGTCGTTAACGCAGGGAAATAGCCACATGTCAACTGTCATAAAGAGAGAGAAGGAGTCTTTCTGTCAGAGAGGAGAAAATAAACAATGAAAAAGAGAGACGGAGAGAGAAAGAGAAATAGAAAGAGAGTGGGAGAGAAATAGAGAGAGAGTGGGAGAGAAATAGAGAGAGATTGGGAGAGAAATAGAGAGAGAGTGGGAGAGAAAAAAAGAGAGAGAGTGGGAGAGAAATAGAGAGAGAGTGGGAGAGAAATAGAGAGAGAGTGGGAGAGAAATAGAGAGAGAGTGGGAGAGAAATAGAGAGAGAGTGGGAGAGAAATAGAGAGAGAGTGAGAGAGAAATAGAGAGAGAGTGGGAGAGAAATAGAGAGAGAGTGGGAGAGAAATAGAGAGAGTGTCACGATCGTTTATGGAAGATACGGACCAAGGCGCAGCATGATAAGCGTACATTTTATTAAGTACTTAACACACGACAAAACAACAAACAAACGAAACGTGAAGTCCTAGGTTACACAAAACAAACCTTAACGGAACAAGATCCCACCCCGACTAGTGCCAAACAGGCTGCCTAAGTATGGTCCCCAATCAGAGACAACGAGATACAGCTGCCTCTGATTGGGAACCACCCTGGCCAACATAGATCTAAACTATCTAGAACATCAACATAGAAAATAACATAGAAACTCCACACCCTGGCTCAACATTTAAGAGTCCCCAGAGCCAGGGCGTGACAGTACCCCCCCACAAACACAACAGGGTAGGGGCCGGGTGGGCATTCCGCCTCGGAGGTGGATCCGGCTCCGGGCGTGACCACCACTTTCTCTCCACCTCCCCGTTGCGCCCCTGGTCTGGTCTGGCACCGCTGACTGGAGCTGGACCCGACGACGGTGGATCGATCTGTACAGGCTCCGGACTGGAGCCGCTGGCCGGAGCTGGACTGGGCACCGGTGGAGCGGATTGCTCTGGCTCCGGAGTGGATCCGCTGACAGGAGTTGGACCGTACCCCGGTGGAGCGGATTGCTCTGGCTCCGGAGTGGAGCAGCTGACCGGTGGAACAGGCACGGGCCGTGCCGGACTGGACACACGCACCACTGGCTTGGTGCGGGGAGCAGGAGCGGGCCGGACCGGGCTGACGACGCGCACCACTGGCTTGGTGCGGGGAGCAGGAGCGGGCCGCACCGGGCTGACGACGCGCACCACTGGCTTGGTGCGG